TTTTGTTTGACACACACACATGAGGTTGCATTCCCAAAAGTTAAGGCGTAGACTGGGTCTCAACGTCTCTGGTTGTTCTCCCTCACTTCCTTGACACGCCGGACGCAACGATGCGGCTGAAGGTGCCGCTGCGACCCACGTGGACGCAAGATCGAAGGGATCGCGCGGCACCATCACAATGTCGCACAAGTCAATGCCTATCGCACATTCGCCTGTCTATCATATGCCAATCAGTCTGCGCGGGATGTCGAGCCAGATCAGGAGCGTGCCGAGTCAGTCGATTCCACGGCACTTGTACCCGCGACGAATCGTGACTTCTGCATGATGCATTCGCATAGTACAAAAGATGCCCAATTTCCGAGCATCTCAACACAGTGACGTTATGGGACGGACTTCCTGCCATGTGCACAAACGAGCGGCAGGGGACTCCGCCCAATACCAGACCGTCGGGCAGCGGCCGTGGTGGCAACCGGACGCTTGAGGATAGTGTCTTGGATGAGTATGCATTGCCGCTCAACGATGATGCTGCCTCACTAAAGTCAAATCACAAGAACCTTGGAAGTAATTTTGCTGCTAAAGCCGCGTGGGATGGTAAGGCCCGACTCTGTGGCGCTAATTGGAGATCCAAAGAGCAAGACGTGCAAGTACATGTGCCGAGGCAAGCGCTGAAAAACACACAACGGCATTAGACTCTGTAAAGAGTTTTCATGGCCAGCTGAGACTTCTCGAATGCTGTTGTCAGGGGTAAGTCAGAGATGTCAAAGTTTGAGGGCCAGACCTTGGAACCAGGAACCTTAGATTGGCAGATTGGAGGACACAAAACACATGTTGAACGTTTGAAGCTAAAACTCGAAGATTGGTCGCTCGAAATTGTAAGTTGTTGAATGATATAAGAGCAGAGCATTGGTGCAGCCCTGAAAACGAAACACGTCGGGTCTGATCTGAATCCAACCCTGATCTCCATCTGGCCAAGGAAAAGACGAGATGCAATCGCCGTGCTTTCAACTCCAAAGAAAACCCTCCAGTCGACCATCGGAAGACGAGGTAATGACAGTTGATAGCGCCAAAGAAAAGATGAACCCACCCTAGCAAGAAGTAAGAAGAGACCTGGAGAGTATACCAACACCCTTCATATCCAAGACACCAACCATAATCTCTGAATAAGAGTTGGATCAGAAACACACGTCGCAAAACATTCCAAACACCCATCACTTCTTCCTTTGCCTCTCGGCCCACTCTCTGCTCGCGATACGACCTCTCTCAGCAGCTTCCGCTCGGGCTCGCTTAGCAGCTTCTTCCTTCTCTCGCCTCTCTCGCTCACGGGCTTCTTTCTCCATGCGGTCGCGGTGGAAAACTTCCCTGCCTTTGACTTTCTGTTGCGCGGGCGTCGACGGGCGTGACGACAGCCTTGGGAACGATAACACTGTTGCGATTTGCCGAGGAAGTCGATGTAGAGCGGGATTGAGAACAGAGGTTTGCGACAGAGACATAGGGCTGCGCTTGCTAGCCAGCGAAGGTGCACGTTGAGCTTGTTGCTGTGGCTGTGGCTGTGGTGCTTGTTGTGGTTGAGGTGGCGCAATGGTAAACACATGGTTGTTGTCTGATAGGGACGGTCACTGGCTTGCGCACTGGTGCTTGTCGTGCCTTGAGCGCAGCCTCTTTCTTTGCTGCTTCCGCTTCTTCCATTCGCTTCAGACGCTCTTCCTTCTTAATCCTTAACTTCTCAGCGACGGCCGAACCAGGGAGCTCGAAAGTCGCCTTCGTCAGTGCTTTCGTCGACTTTGCATGGGGAGCCATGTTGATGCTAACAGGACGCTGCTTAGATGCCATGCTGATGCTGACAGGACGCTGCTTAGGTGCCGGTTGTGGAGGTGCTTCGGCTTCCCTCTTCAGACGCTCCTCTTTTTGTGCCTGAGACTTCTCAGCGATTCTTTCGCCAGGGAGTTGGAACGCAGGTTTCGTCAAGGGCTTATCGGGATTTCGGTGGAGGAGGGCATGCTAATAGGTCGTGGTTTGCGAACCACGCCCTCTGTCTCTCTCTCTGTCGCTCCTCCTTTGGGGCCTTCAATTTGGCTACCACATCGTTACTTGAAAAGCTGGAAGGTGGCCTTTGTGGGTGCGCGGCCCTTGGGTGGTGGGTTGCAGGTGTGGGGAACGATACACTGCTCGGCCGGCGTTTTGAGGCAAGGTAATCTACTGTATCAGTGGAATCTACTCTACCATCTTTGTTAGGCGCTGTGCGGACACTGGATGCGCGAGCCATCGAAGACTTCACTGGCTTCATGCTCTTAGGAGCAGCAACACTCGGTGTCCTCGATAGCTTGGCAGCAGGCGCAGGCACTGGCCCTTTCCCGAGTGTCTTCGATCGCATCGTCTGTGTGGCAGCTGCTTTTGGGAACTCTGCCTTGTGAGGTGACATCACTTCATTCGAATGGTTGAAGCTGGTGACTGAGGTCACATTCTCCAGTGCCTCCTCTAGCGCATCAATGGCCTCAAACGACTCTTCCAGACGCATCGGTGATTTCGAGGGACTGCGCGACGCCCGTCGGCTGGAAGTATGGCTCCTGAGTGGTGTTACAGCATCTTCGCTGGACATCTCGGCTACAAGTGACTTTGGCTCCGGTTCAGAGCTCATTTCGACTGAGGGTGCGGGGACTTCAGTGTCATCTTCAGGCTCTTGATTCTCAGACGAATCCTCAGTCGCTGTTGCCTTGACGGGTTGCTCCTCGCCATTGGGCTCGTCGATCCGTGGCACTGATGTGGTATGTTTTGTCTCTACAGTCTCGGTAATCTCTCGAGGCGCTTCCTCCACCTCCAGCATGGACTCATTTTGCGCTTCCTCCACAGGTTCCATTGTAGCTGGCGCTTCAACCTGCTGTGGGGGGCTCTCAACCTGCGCTTCTTCTGCGCCTGTTGTTGCATCTTCAGACGAAGTCTCCTCAGGCGCATGTGCTTCCACAGTCGTTCCCGCGGTCGAAGGCACCTCCTCTGCAACTGGCGCTGGTTCTGGCTCTTGTGATTGGGCGCTGAACTTCGCTTGTTTCGCTTCCTCCTCCTGCATAGCCAGTTGTCGGCGTGTCAATCGCGGCGCTGGAGTCACGGGTCGCTCGGTGATTGCGGGGGCTTCTGAGGCTCCTGTTCGCCATTAGTCCACGGTTGTTGGTCTGGAGCGGCTGCGAACTCACCATCGGAAGTGTCTTTAGAAACATCGTCGCCAGTTGGTTCGTTCGTGTGCGCTTCACTTGCGGCTTGCTCCTCTTCAGGTGCGGCTCCGGTCTGCTCCTCTTCCTCCTCCTCAGCCGCTTTGCCCTTCTTTCCCTTTTTCGCACGGCCTTTGCCTTTTGCCTTTCTTCCTGGAGTCTTTGCGGGAGTCTTTGCGGGTGTTTTCGGGACTGATTCCTCGTCATCGTAGCGGGTCTGCTTGGGCGACGCATTTGAGGAAATTTGATTTAAGGGTGCACGCTCGGTCGCGTCGGTCGCATCATCGTTGCCCTGTTGGGCGCGGGCGCGTGTGACACGCATCGACATATTTAAGGCGTCAGATAGATTGTGTCGTATAATTGTATCGAGCTGTCTATGCGCTGCTAGGATGCATTGATAGCGAAGTGGTATCGTGTTGACGCTCAAGTGTTGATGCTGCACGAGAGTGGGCCCGATCATAACAAACATCCCTACCGAGAAGGTGCCCACGCCGGCCGTTTCTCGCGGGCACGTGACGAGCGCCTGTTCACCCGCCACGCGACCGAATCGCGGACCCGTTGCACCCCACGATTCAGCAACTCCCGGGTCCGCATCCGTGCGTGTAGAGGTGTCTTTTCGTTCCGTAAATTTATGAGCGGCCATTCATAGACCCCTTATTTGCCAATCGCATCTCCAAATTTCTTCCCAGTCTCTCATTACTATCAGTAACTAATTTTCTTTCTCTGACGCGTCCTCGTCTCCTAAACACGAACAAGTACGCACATTGTCGCAATTGGCATAACGCAGCAACCGTTCGTGTCTATCAAAGCCACTTTCATCATCCATCGCGCGTCTCCGATCACCGGATGTTTGCAGCCCCGCGGTTGCGTCTCCTAGCCGTGAACAGCCGCCTTCAACCCCGCCCAAGCATGTCGTCACCTCGTGCGCGCGCTGCTCCCGGCTCCCCGCCTTACACAGATCTCCAAGCATTTAGACTCCAAGCCCTTTCTCGAATTGAACACTCCCTTCTCCACTGAACGCACCGCCCGCATCGAAGACGAACAAGGCAATCGCATACCTCCCAAGAAGGCCGAAGAGTTTAAGAAGGAAGCCAAGAAAGAAATCAAGAAGGAAGTAGAGCAAGTGAAGAAGCTTGCGCCGGAACCACCCAAGAAATGTCGAGCCAAGCACCACACCCTGCCCTGCTCATTCCTGGGCCCATTGAGTTTGACGATGCCGTACTTTCGTCTATGAGCCATTACAGGTAAGACACCTCCATGGCATTTACTGTTCATGCTGTTCGCAACTACTAACCTCATCAGCGAATCGCATGTCGGCCAACCCTTTGTAAACACCTTTAGCGAAGTCCTCGGAAACCTGCGCAAGCTGTTCCTGTCCACCGACCCTGCCGCGCAACCCTTCGTCATCTCCGGCTCTGGCACACTCGGATGGGACCAAGTAGCGGCCAACTTGGTTGAGCCTGGCGATGAAGTGCTCGTCCTACACACTGGCTACTTTGCCGATTCGTTCGCCGACTGCTTCGAAACCTACGGCGTCAAGGCTACACAGCTCAAAGCACCCATTGGCGACCGACCACAACTCGATGAGGTGGAGAAGGCACTAAAGGAGAAGGAGTACAAGATCCTGACCGTCACCCACGTCGACACATCGACTGGTGTGCTCAGCGAGATCAAGGCATTGAGCGAGCTTGTCCACAGGGTTAGTCCCGAGACATTGGTCGTAGTTGATGGTGTCTGCAGTGTTGGCTCCGAAGAGATCCGCTTCGACGAGTGGAAGCTCGATGCTGTCATCACAGCTTCACAGAAGGGCATTGGCTGCCCAGCTGGTCTGAGTATTATGATGGTATCTGGCCGCGCGATTGAGAGGTTCAAGGCGAGGAAGACACGACCAACTTCCTACTTCGGCTCATGGAAGAACTGGTTGCCCAGTGAGTATCTCAATTCCCCAATATAAGCACATCAATAAAACTAACACAACCGCAGTCATGCAAAACTACGAAGCCAAGAAGGCGTCCTACTTCGCTACACCCTCCCCACAGCTTATCCACGCGCTCGATACTGCACTCAAGCAGATCCTCGCCCGACCCGTTGAAGACTACTGGGCTGCACACAAGACCGCGTCGCAAAAGGTCAAGAAGGCTGTTGCTGATCTCGGCCTCAAGCAGCTTGCTTCCAAGCCGGAGAACCAGGCCACTGGTATGACCGCCATTTACCTACCCGAAGGTATGACACCTCCGGATGTTCTGCCCAACCTCATGAAGAAGGGTGTCATCTTCGCTGGTGGTCTGCACAAGGAGATCGCAACCAAGTACATTCGATTCGGACACATGGGTGTTAGCGTCACCGACCCGAACCGACCAGACATCACCAAGGCGATTGAGAGCCTAAAGGAGGGTCTGGCGGAGGCTGGCTACAAAGCATAGTCG